TTTTTGAGACAGGGTCTCGCTATTAGTTCAGACTGACCTGGAACTCACTGTGTAGCTCAGGCTGGTCTCAAACTCACAGCGATCCTCCTGCCTCAGCCTCCCAAGTGCTGGGATGAGAGGAGTGCACCACCATGCCCCACAAGACCACATTCTTAAGTGAAATAAATAGGACACACATAAGTAAATACTGAATAGCTTCTCAGGTGTGAGAAACTAAAAATGTAAATAAGGATCCAAGTGTATAATTGATAATGTGAAATATGAGATAAGGTCTACAGGGGTAGGGGAAGTGGGAAAGGTAGGGGAAAGGAAAGCGGGAAAGGAATAAATATGAGAAAAGGAAAAAATGGAAACAAAGTCTTTGTAAATAGGGAGGGGGCGAAGGGAGGGCAGGGACAAGGGGAAAAATGAGAACCAAGACCTGTCGTGTAAAGGCACAAGTCCCCAATGAATGTAACTGTACTGTATCCCTAAAAGGTACTAATAAACTTAGAGAGAAAAAAAGTTAGCAGAATAATAAAAAAGAGTTGGAGGGCCGGGGATTTAGCTCAGTGGTTCTGCTGCCTGCCTTGCAAGCACAAGGACTTGAGTTTGATCCCCGGTACCAAAACAAAAGAGTTGACAGAACAATATCCTGCTGTCTTTGTATATTAAAAATGTTATATTGTGAACATTTCATTGCAACATGACCCTGTTTTTACTTTTACATATTGTTCCTACCTATATATTTTTGTTGTTTGTTTGTTTGTTTTGAGACAGGGTCTCACTATGAGACCTTAAGGCCTTAAACTCAGTATGTAGCCCAGGCTGGTCTCGAACACACAGGGATCCTCCTGCCTCAGCCTCCTGAGTGCTGGGAAAGGCATATGCCTACCCACCTGGATCATTTATATTTGGTAGGTTCTGAAAAGCCCAAAACATTTCACCCTGGCTAGAAAGTGTACCAACTCTGGCCAATATGCCTTTGAATAAATCTGCAGTCAAAATTCCTAGAAAGACAAACTTTTGCCTACAAGTGTTTTTGTTTTTTGTTTTTGTTTTTGGTACTGGGGGTTGAACTGTCCTTGTGCTCGGGAGCCAGGTGGCAGAACCACTGAGCTAAATCCCCAGCCCAGGAGGATTTTGTGAATCTAAGATTTTTAGACCAGCCTGGGCTACATAGTGAAAACTCATCTTAAAAACTAAAATAAGCCAGGTGTGATGACTTGTGCCTGTAATCCCAGCTACTCAGAAGGCTGAAGCAGGATTGAAAATTCCACCACAGCCTGGGCGATTTAATCAGATTTTGTCTCAAGATCAACAAATGCCAGTTGTGGTGGTGCATGCCTGTAATCCAAGCACTCAAGAGGCTGAGGCAGGAGGATCTCTGAGTTCTCAGTAAGCCTGAGCTACATAGTGAGTTCAAGGCTACATAGTGAGAACCTGCCTCAGCCCTTACCCCCCCACACACCAAAAGACAGGCAATTTTTTTTCCCCTTTGAGTTTATTGGTACATTTTAGGGATACAGTACAGTTACGTTCATCACTGGGATCCTGTACCTCTACACGACAGGTCTTGGTTCTCATTTTTTCCCCTCGTCCCTGCCCTCCCTTCACCCCACCCCTCCCCTCCCCCTTTACAAACACTTCATTTCCATTGTTTCATTTTCCCCTATTAAGACAGGCAGTTCTAACCTGGGACCCACAGGCTGAGGAGCAGGAGCCCCTCAAGGACTGTCACCGTCACCCACCGCGCTGTCAGCCACTTGCTGCCTCCTGGACCAGCCTTAAGACCCTCCTCGCAGCCCCATAGGATCTGCCCCTTGAGACCCTCTGCCCTTCCCGGCTCCAGGCTGCCTGGACAGGGCTTATACACTGCCCAGTATTTTTGTTCGTTTGGTTTGAGATTTTAAGACAGGATCTCGCTTCTTGAACTGGCGTCGTGCCTCGCAGGGATGCGATGACAGGTCTGCGTCCCGGCACATTTGGACCCTGTGATGGCCCCGTGAGCCCAGGCAGGGCTGCGCTTCCGCCGAGCACCACCAGGGGGCGCGCGAGGCGGAGAGTTTAACAGTCTAAACCCCGAAGCCAGGCTGCGGAGGGGCGGGGCCGGAAGTGGGCGGCTTTAGAGAGGGGCGGTGCTTCAGAGGGAGGAGCTGGCAGGGGAGCGATGTCATTCAGAGGGCGGGACCCAGCGGAGGCGGGCGGCGAGGGGCGGAGAATTGGGCGGGGCTTATCAGGGCGGGGCGGGGCCCTAGGGGTAAGGGTCCCGTGTAGGGTCTCTGATCCCTGCCTCCCGTCCGCATTTCCCGCTGACTCACGCGTCCCCCACCCCACGCTCCTTTGCACCGCACTCTCCATCTCCCATTCTTTGTGTGTTCCTGCTCCCCACTCTTTTACACGCCCTTGAACCGGATTTCACACCCTTCCTTTGCACCCTATGTGCTTTTGTTCCTGGCTCAAGCTTCTCATTTCGGAAAAGGCCCTTTTGTCTGTTGTTTGAGCCAGGGTCTCACTGTGCAGTTCAGGGTGACCTTGAACTATGTAGCTCAGGCTGTCCTGGAGATGGCGGAGATCCTCCTGCTTCAGCCTCCCAGAGTGCTGGGGTGACTGGCGTGTGCCACCACACTGGGCTACAGCACGCCTTTTCTTTATCCCCAGTGCAGCCTGTGTGGAGGATGAGGAGGCAACAGGGGACGGTGTGGGACACTTGTCTTTCTGGCATCAGATTGTGATGTGATAAAGGGCAGCCCAGGGCGGTGAGGGAGTCAGAGGGACACAACCGGTCAGCTCGTGGCCCCCGAAGAGCTGGGCCCTGCGGGAAACAGCAGCCCAGGCGGCCGGGAACGTGCGGAACCTGCTGGCCTAGCGCGGCGTGGCCCGGCTGGCTGGCATGGCAGAGCCGCAGGCACACAGGCCCTACTCCATGTTGAGGCTGCTGTCGCTTCTGCACGGCGTGGTGGCTGTAAGTGTGTCGCACTCAGGCCAGCTCCGCTCCCTGGAAGGCAGAAATAAGTCATCCAGATGGGGCTGCGGATGGATCTGTGGTCCTCTGGGAGGCAGGGATGTAGGGCAGGCGGCTGGCTGGGGCGGTGGAGGCGGGGAAATCAGCACAGACGCTGGTGACCCCGGGACCCTGGGACCCTGGGGCGGGCCAGGGAGCGCTTGGAGTCTCAGGCCGCACAAATCCAGGTTCTGGGGAGCCCAGGAAGAAGCGATTTTAAAATCGAATCCCTCCCTGCATCTGCCATTCCTCCCTTCTCTTTTTTTTTGGATACCAGGGATCAAATTTGGGACCGTGAGCTTGCGAGGCAGGAACCGCTGAGCTAAATCCCCGCCCTGCTCCCTCCCTGTTTCCCTTTTCATTGTGTGCTGGGGATGGAACCGGGGCCTCCTCGCAAGTGTTAGGCACGTGCTGTACCACTAAGTCCCACCCCAGCCCTTTCTGGATCTTTACATTTTTCAAAAGTATTTTTCGCAGTATAAAGTTAATCCCAAGTATGCATTGTTAAAGAACTAATTGCTTTCGTTTGAGCATATAAAGACCCTGTGGTCTTTATATTGTTTGTATTGCATGGTGGTGCACACCTGTCATCATAGTACTTGGGAGACTGAGGCAGGAGGATCACAGTTTGAGACCAGCCTGGGCTACACAGTGAGTTCAAGGCCAGCCTGAATTACATAGCAAGACCCTGTCTCAAAAACATGAAAACCAAAACCAAAACCAAACAGAGCAAACTAAGTGCAATGGTGTACATGCCTGAAATGGCAGCTACTGGGGAGGCTGAGGCAGGAGGATCACATGATCAAGCCTATCTACATCACTCTATCTCGAAATTTATCTTCAGAGCTGAGGATTTCCCATTTTCTATTTTTAGTTTTTTTTTTTTTAATTTTAGATAGGATCTCATTAATTTGCCTAGGCTGTCCTTGAACTTGCCATCTTCCTGCCTCAGCCTCCTGGCTAGCAAGTATTATACCTCTACACCATCATACCTGGCAGAATCTTTTTTTGTGTGTGTGAGACAGGGTCTCACTATGTAGTTGAGACTGCCCTGGAACTCACTGTGTAGCCCAGGCTGGTCTTGAACTCACAGCGATCTTCCTGCCTCAGCCTCCCCGAGTGCTGGGATTACAGGCTTGCGCCACCATGCCCAGCTCTGGCAGAATCTTTACAGTTTTAAATATAAATTCAAACTGCCCTCTTAATCCATGCCCCTCCCCAAATTGTGCCTGGCAGCAATTATGAGACTGTTCCTACATCACACCAACTCCAGTATTACCATATCTTAATGTTTTTGCTGAACTTTTCAGCTGTTGCTTCCTTTTACCCAGGGAGAGGTTGTTGTTTTTGCTGTTATTATTTTGAGACAGAATCTCACTATGCAGGTCAGTCTGGCCTTGAACCCACTATTAGCCCACGCTGGCTTTGATATTTGTGGCAATCCTCCTGCCTCAGCCTCCTGAGTGCTGGGATGACAGGAGTGGGACGGCACACCTGGCAAGAGAGCGCTTATTTGCATACAGCACATTTTCTTTTCCGATTTTTGTTCTAAAGCCATCCAGGGTGATCCTCATCGGCCTGGGCATTGGTATCAAGTATGGGGAGGCCGCCCTGACCAGGGTCCTGGGGCCGGCGTCCGAGTATCGCCTGCACATCAGCCACCTGTACCTGGCCTTGGGCTGCCTCGCGGTGCCGCTGGCCCTGGTTGGGTGGTGCGGCTCGAAGAAAGAAAGCCGAGGCAGCCTCGTTTGTAAGTCAGATCCACACATCGGCCGACCAAGTCCTTCATGGCTTGACTTACGAACGCCTTTCCGCTATGTCTCCTACTTTGTGTTCCTGGTGTCTCGCTGCACGGTAGCAGACGTGCCCTTTACAATGCTTCTGAGACCATGTTGGCCACGTGCAGAGGTCACACTCATCGTGGGAAGTCGGTGCATGGCCACAACCCGTCTTCCCTCGTTTTACTCTTCCTTTTCCCTTCCGTCTCCCCTCCATCTCTTGGTTTATCTATCTCCTTCTTTTCCTTCTTTTCTTTTCTCTTTTTTTTTTTTTTTTTGAGACAGGGTCTCACTATGGAGCCCAGGCTGGTCTGGAACTCACAGCGATCCTCCTGCCTCAGCCTCCCGAGTGGTGGGATGACAGGCGTGCACCACCAGGCCAGCATGTAACTATTAACTTTACAAACAGAACATTCCAAGCAGGACCCTGCAGATAGGTACGGCGCAGCTCCCACACCTTGCTTATTCTCAAGCAATCCTGACTTCACCACTGCCCGAGGCTGCCTCTGTTTCTCCCTCCCCACTGGGGCTCTGAGGTCAGGTCCCTTACAGTGTTCTCTGAGTGGATTGTCGCACCCTAGCTTTAATCCATCTCCAGCTTTTTTTTTTCCTCCCTTTCTTTTTGAGATAGGGTCTTGGGCTGGCCTTGAACTCGCTATGCAGCCCAGGCTGGTTTGAACTTGCAGTGAGCCTCCTGCCTCAGCCTCCCACATGCTGGGATGACAGACATGTGCCACCACACCTGGCACTTAGATGTGTGTGTGTGTGTGTGTGTGTGTGTGTGTGTGAGAGAGAGAGAGAGAGACAGGGTCTTGCTTCATAGGTCTTGCTTTGAACTATGTAGCCCAGGATGGCCTCGAAATTTCTGAAATCCTCCTGTCTCAGCCTCCCAAGTGCTGAGATTACAGGTGTGTGCCACCACACCCAGAACTTAGGTTTCTTTTCTCTTTCTCTTTTTCTCTTTCTTTCTTTTTTTTTTTTAACTTAGGTTTGTTTTTAACCTTCCAAAATAGGCATCCAGCCCCAGCTCCCCTAGGGATCCCATCCCACCCTCCCTTGACCTGTCCTTGTGTACAGGAAGCCACTGGGGGAAAATGAAACCCAGCAGCCTCCCGCCATGACCTCCCGTATGAGGTCTTTTGAACCGGAGAAGCCGGTGAGGTGAGGTGAGGGGTGAGGGGCAGGGACCCGGCTGAGAGGCTGCCAGTCCTCTGTGTCCCCGTGTGTCTTACAGTACCTCGTGACCGTGGCTGTCATTCTCGTGGTGGAGATCACAGTGGCCTCGGTGGTCCTAGCTTTCTTCCCGCTGGTGAGTCTGGAGCTGCTGCCAAGCAGCAATGGAAAGGAATGGGAGCCGGGTGAGGTGGCGCACGCCTGTCATCCAAGCACTCGGGAGGCTGAGGCAGGAGGATCTCAAGTTCAAGCCCAACCTGGGCAACTTAGTGAGATCCTGTCTCAAAATAAAATAAAAGGGCTGGAGTTGGAGCTCAGTGATTCCAGAGTTCAATCCACAATGGGGGGCGGTGCGTGGAGAAAAGAAGAGAAATAGCAGCCCCCAGAGGCACCTGCTACTCTTGTCAGAAGAGCCAGATGCAGGACAATGGGAAACAGTCTCAGCGAGGAGGAAAAGAATGAAAATATCCCCGGCTTTGACACACATCCAGTCTCTCTTTGGGGACACAGGAAACAGAAATAGTCATCAGCGTGAAGTGGCAGGAGGTTTTCGGCTGGAAGCAAGGCGGGAGGGAGAGATTTTCATGGTCTACCCTGCTGGGTTCTGTGAATTTTGAAGACGGGACTGTATCACCTATGTAGGAAAAAAAAAAAGGCATCGTTTAAAACCTTTCTTTAGGACTGGGGATGTAGCTCAGTGGTGCTGCACCTGCCTGGCAAGTGCAAGGTCTTGAGTTCAATCCCTGATACTGGAAAACAAAACAAAACAAAACAAAAACCCAAAACACCCTTTCCTTAAAAAATCAAATATGAGCTGGGGAATTGAGTTCAGTGGCACCGCACCTGCCTTTCAAAGGCAAAGTCCTGAGTTCGCGCCCCAGTACAAAAACAAAAAAATCCAAAATTAGAAGCCAGGTGTGGTGGTGCGCTCCTGCCATCCCAGCACCTGGGAGGCTGAGGCAGGAGGATCGCCACGGGTTCAAGGCCAGCCTGGGCTCCACAGCGAGACCCTGTCTCAACCAACCAAGCTAAACCAAAACAAAACCAATTAAATGGGCCCCTTGTGTACACAGAGAGAGATTCAGTTGCCAGGGGAGGGATGCGATTCATTAATCGTGGTTTCAGCCAAACCGTGGGTGGCAGGCTGTGGGAACTGGAAAAAGCAGCAGATGGTTCAAGTTCACTAGTGATGGGAACAACCAGACAGCCTGTGCGGCAGGCCGCGCCCGTCCCTGTGCCCCCTCTCGGCAGGCGACACAGAGCCTGAATGTATCCCCTCCACCTTTCCTTTGCAGTTTTGGGGATGGAACCCAGGGCTTTCACACTGAGCTCCACCCCCCAGCCCTTTTTCATTTTGAGACAGGGTCTCCCTAAGCCACCAGATTGTCCAGGCTGGGCTCCACCTTGCCACCCTCCTGCCTCAGCCTCCCGGAGTGCTGGGATGACAGGCGTGTGCCCACCAGGCCTGGCGAATGTGTCACTTTCTAACACAGACCCACGAGCTGGAAGTAGGAAAGGTTTAGAAAGTGCCAGGGCAGCCCCCACTTCCCTGTGTCCTCCCCACGGATCCCCCACCCATGGGTCTCCACGACCATTTGGGTGCTGATGGCTTCCGGTCTCGCCTGGAAGGTTCGCGACCTGGAACACGACATCGTCACCCTGAGGAGGAGCTATAGAGGCTACAACGAGACAGGTGACTTCTCGGCCCCAGTGGAACTCGGTCATGGAGAGGGTGAGCTTTGCTTTGTAAAAAAAAAAGTTGTACTAAAAGATACGTAGCACAAAATTTGCCGTTTTTGAGCGTACAGCCCCGTGACACTAAACACCAGCCGTCAGCATCATCCATTTCCAGAACTTTTCTTTTCTCTTTTCTTTTCTTTGAGACAAGAGTCTCACTACGTAGCCCAGGCTGATCCTGAACTTGTGGCGATCCTCCTGCCTCAGCCTCCGGAGTGCTGGGATCATAGGTGTGCGCCTCCATACCTGACTTTGCAGAGCTTTTCCGTCCCCTCAAACGTCACCTCTGTCCACGCACAAGGCAGTGACCTCCCATCCTCGCCCCGCCCCGCCCC